ATAAAACAATTTTGGGACACAACCTTTGAGAATATTTACTTTCATATATAACAACTTTGAAACACAGCCTTTGAGAATATTTACTTTTATATGAGTTGATACTTACTCCCCAAACAACACATTTGAAGGATCCAAATCTGAATATGTTTAGTTTGTAGTAGAAAAATAAACAATAGTCCTCTACCATGACAATACTTATTAAACAATACTCCTCTACCATGACAATACTTATTATGTTAATAATTTCGATATTTAAGTAATATTTAACTAACTTTGTGAATTGAAAAAATAACGATAGTTAAAAACCCATTTTTTAGAGCAGGGTTCTCATCTTTTTTCTTTAATTTTGGTTCTCAATTATTATAAGCTAGCATTTTAATAGGTTAACTTTAACTTCCAAATTCTGTTAGGTGTTACATAGATGATTGTAGTAATCAATACAAAATGCTTTGGTCTTGATTTTGAACATCCTGTTATTTCAAATGAGGAAAATGTCACTATTTTTTCAAGTTATAATTTTCACTATTCCTTTTATTGCACCCAATATTCCTAATCGTATGATGTTTACATTATGAGGCAATTATATGTAGTCTTTTGTTACTCTTGCTAGACGTCCGTCATAGAAAACATGCCAGCTATTAGTATGGCAGTAACATCAGTGGCTTCTCATGATTGGCCAGATCAATGGCCTCAGTTACTTCAATTCTTAATGAAGTTAATTAATGATCAAAGTAATACAAATGCAGTGAATGGGGCTCTTAGATGTTTGATTCTCCTTTGCTGATTTGGATGATAAATTAGTGCCTAAAATATTACCAGTTTTTTTTCTTCGAGTGCTTACAATTAAAACAACTAAAAGTTGGAATTACATGGTACAATACAATGAGTTTTCAACCCAAAAGTTCCAAATCAAATTCCTACCTCATTTCACTCTACTCCTAATCCATAAAAAGGCCAAAGCCTTGACATCATAGACTAAAGCTAACGGACTTTTAGGGAGAAGGGAGTCATTCCCTCCCAACCATTGAACCCACTGCCACATCACTTTTTCTCTTTTATTTTTCATCATCTTTCCGAACCCACAACACAAGGAAACCATATCTTTTTGAACTCACTCAACCCACTCAATTAAAAAAAATACAAAACAATCAAAGGTAAAATCTTAATTAGCAATAGAGTTATCGGCGGTACCACTCCGGCTTCAACGAATGGGTTGATTGGTTTCAATAACCACTTCATCATCTCTCTATTTTCTCTTTCTTATTTTCTCTTGTACCATGTGTTTTAAAACTTGTACCTTAGTTGTTTTGTATTTTTTTTTAATTGAGTGGGTTGAGTGGGTTCAAAAAGATAAGATTTCCGTATGTTGTGGGTTCGGAAAAGATGAAGAAAAAAAAGAGAATTGATGTGGCAGTGGGTTCGGTGGGTTGGGAGGGAACAACTCCCTCCTCCCTTAGACCTTAGTATTGGTGTTGAAGATCACGTCATTCCTATAATTCCATATAGTCCATAAAAATCCTATAATTCCATATAGTCCATAAAAATGGTCTAGATATCGCTTCCTATAATTACATGTTATTGTTTCATAACTCGTGTATTTGCTCTCACAACTAGTATGTATATAACAACTTTGAGACACAACCTTTGAGAATATTTACTTTCATGTTTATTTTCGAGTAAAAACACAACAGAATAAGAAAAAACACCAAAATATTGCTAAGTGAACAAAACACCGGAATAAGTAACAACACATGATCAAACACTGTAAGTCTTGCTGTTTGCATATGACCCAAGATTCTTCCCACCACATGTAGCCATGCACGCTTCCTCGAACGTTTCCTTCTCAACCACTTTATTGCAAATGTTTGCAAATGCCCGCATGTGCTTCATGCCATATTGAGTCAGCGACCCACAATGCTTCTCAAATAACCGAGCCTTTAATGGAGAACCCATAATCATATATATTAGCAAAACCGATCATATAATTAAAACAATATTTGAAAAAAGTACACAGTTTTAACCATAATAGATACCGTAGATTTAAGACACTCCCAATCATCCACCAAAGGAAACCCACGACCTCTAGATGAATGGAGGATTGAACGACCATTCTGTGGTCCAAAAAGAAGCATCCCAATCATCTCAATACTGTTATCTAGATGCGCCCTATGTGACATGGTCTCTGTTATCTTCTTCAGAAGTCCCGCTCTTTCCATTTCTGATGACTTCTTGTACTGAGCATACAAGCAAAATAAAATTGTCAAAACATTTCGAATTTAGGCTTTGTTTCTCACATAAGACATCTTACCCTCTGCCACATGAATATGAGATCGGCATCTCTTTGATTTACACCATCCATCTTCTTATCAAATGAAATCAGGTTATCCGGGAGGTTTAGGGTTTCTGGATCAAACCCTAGATATAAAGAGACCTTCTCTGGTTTGATGTCTTTACTACCGTATTCCATCACATGTGAACCTGAATTGAAAGTATCGTAATTAGATGTCCTCTCCTTCACCTGTTCACAAAAATATACCAATTAACTTCAACACATTAAACCAAAATGAACATATACTAAACTTGGATCCTAGTCAATACTAGTTAATTAAGTCTCCGAACCTTGTTGAATTGTTGCTCAATTGATTCTTTCTTCAGGTTGTGTGTCTCACTGGTGAAAACAAACCACAAAAAACTCATTTCATAGAATTTGTAGGCCTAAAAACAATCTAATTAAATTCATAGAAATTTGAGTAGAAGTAAATGGTGGCATGAAATATAAATAAATACCTATCTTCCATCCAAGCTACACTGTATAGATCTCCTAAGCAGGTAATATACTCGGGTGGGGGAGAGGGTTCCATCCCCGGACAGTATGTTCCATAGCTGCTCTCTTCAGAGCTCGATGCGGTTGTAGCATATATGTTGAGATCTTCGGGTAACATTCCTTCAAAGATGCTTCCACTTTCGCATGCTTCCAAGTATATAACCTACACTAATTAATTCTTCTTGAGAGATATAATCATACACATCTACGGTTTAGATTGAATCCGAATCCAAATGCTCGGTCTAGATTACCATTTCTTTGTATGTACCCATGTCATGCTTCTTTTTTAAGACTTCGATCAAGTCTTTGGCTACAAGATAAGGCATGTTTGGCATCCCTACACTCAAAAGTACAACATATTAGTCTCATGATCTTTTATCTAGCAAATTACTACAAAGCATTCAGTTTTGTGGTTGAACCATTAGTACTATACTTTTTCCAATCAAACAATATAAGTTTCTCACATTTTCCTAAATCAACCATTTTGACTTGTTATATATGTTTTAATAGTAATTTTGTTATATCTAGTTTCATAGGGGTTTTTTCAAGTTAACCATTTTGACGGTCAAAATAGTTAAATTGGAAAAATGTTGTGATTTGATCGGAAAAAATAAAGTAAAAGTGGCTAAACCACAACATTGCCCAAAATATATAATTGTTTTTCTCTAATTTGGCGTTTTCTAACAACACCCGTTGAATCGGGAGCCCAATAACTAATGAGTGGGCTAAGTTGTATATGTAAATGAAATTAATTATCAAACACTTACCAAGCACACCAGGACCTCCGTGATCAGAGTAGTAAAGAAAGATCCGGTCTTCTGGCTTGCTATCAACAACCTTTCCACTTCCACCTTTCACCGATTTTTTGTCACCAAGAAGCACGGCAAACAAATTGTCTACTGTAACATGCTCCCCAGTATAGTCCTACAATAACTTATACCATTTTAATTGACGAATTGTGATCACTTAGGATGCGTTTAGTTGTGGAAAATTGTTTTAATTTTTCCAAGAAAATGTTTTCAGAAAATAGAGTTAGTTTTCACTTTCAGTTTTCAATGAAAATTTAAGAAAATGCGTTTGGTTGGGAACCGGTGGAGTTTTCATTTTTCATCTTAAAAATTTGGAAAACTGTAAAAATCATTTTCCTAATTTACATACAACTTGGAAATCAGAAATTTTCATTTTCTTGGAAAAATTTTGAAAATTGAATCAACCTTTTCAAAATTTTCATTTTCATTCGAAAATTTTCATGTAAAACTAGAAAATTGTATACAACCAAACGCACTCTTAATCTTTTAAAAGATAGGGAGGGATGCATGTACCTTTGGAACACCGGAATAGACATCGTCTCCTTGTGGGTGATTGATTATGACTCCAGGCCTCGGGTTCATCTCACTTGTTGCGATATCGTCGTACATAAACACAACAATATTTTCATCTTTCAAACCTCCTTTTTTAAGTATTTGATAAGCATGACAAACATCAGCCTGTGGTACAAAAATTAAGATCTTCAGTAACACAAACCAAACAGAAAGTAAAAATTCAGATCTTCAACTTCACCAGAAAATGGTAATTCAGTTTAATAGAGAGCCAATGACCTCTCCAACCATGTTCATTATCCCACCATTTCAAAATATATTTGAAATAATTTTTCACAGGCCCATTTTAAAGTCTCAACGGTAGTTATATAATCATAATTTTTTGTATAAAAAGGTTCTGTATATAAGATTAATAAATATTCTATAAATTAAATGAAATAGGTAAAATATAATAAGGATATACAATAAAATTCAGTGTACAAAAGAATTTGGGATGACAAATTGATCAATTGAGGGAATAAATTGTTTTTTTAACGACTTACATATTATTAAAATCTAACAAAACGCTTGAACAAACGACATATTACAAAGAAGAGATAACAAGACTTGGGTTGTGAAGCCAACCGATTCATTTTACAAATTTTACTCCTATTGTAAATCTAAAAATAAGCGATATCAATTTTATTTGGTAGAATAAATTCCCAAAAAATCTCCGGGAAGGTCGGAGAGAATTTGTATCCTCCAAACTCCATATTTGGAGGTTTGAAGGAATTGAGAAATTAAGGGATCGTTTGTTTTTTTTGGCAAAAAGACTTTTTGGGCACTTATATCTACGGGCGGGTAGATGTTTACCAAAAAGACCGTTTGTTTTCTGGAAGACAAAAGAACTCAAAAAAAACTTCTTTATCACTTCTTGTATGAAGGCATAGAAAAATACTTTTTGTTCACGTCTTCTACCGCAAATACGGAAAAAGACTAAAGACATTTTACCACTTCCAAAACAAACACCACCTAAATATCCTCCTACTTTTGTTCCTACAAATCTTCATGCCCAATAAAATGATGACATGTGTAACTAAAATAACACATGTCATCGTTTTATTGGGTATGAAGATTTGTAGGAACAAAAGTTTACACATGTCATCGTTTTATTGGGTATGAAGATTTGTAGGAACAAAAGTAGGAGGATATTTAATTTCTCGAAGGAATTATCGAAGAGGACTTATCTCAATAATCAATTCTTTATAGCAACATTTTACTTGCTTATCCAAGTTTTATTACATTAACATTGATTGACTAAAAATCAACTGTCAACATAACTATGACTATTACCAAAAACGTCAAAACGGACTATTGTAACTTATACTCGATTGCACCGATTACTTTAACACACATCTAGCTAACTTTCAAGTGAGCAAGGTATCTATCTATAGAATTTGTTCTTAGCAAATAAAATGGATAGGAAATTGTTTAAAAAATGATTTCGTGACATCAGATTAACTACTTTTGTAGGTCATAAAATTTGGATGCCAGTTTTGAAAATAAATGTGATCTTTGATAAATAATAAGAATCAAATTATTGTTTCTCAAGTTCTTGTTATCTAAAAAAAAAGTAATAGATAAGATAAACATAAGGATACCATTATCGAAAAGAAGATGCACTTTGCACAAACAATTCCTGAAATTAGGTTAAAAGAAAAGGTAACATCGACAATCAACTTTGTTGTATCATGTATATATACCAAAACTAACTGTTTCACCCTTTAAATAAACAAATCACGAATTTAATAATTTAGAATCTTTAATTAAGACTTGGGTCGTGTTGGGTTGGACTTTATCCAAACCCAAAAAAACACACACGAAATTAAACCAGCCGAAATATTCTCGGACTCAAATAAAATTATATTTAGAAACATTATGAGCTCAAATATTAAATAAAAATTTAATTAATTCACAAAATAAATTTTTGAAAAATTGGTTGTCACCTGATGCCGGTAATTTCCATAACCGTTTGAACCGGCGACGAGCACCGCCCACCTAGTCCCGTTTCCCGTCGTCTGTCCATCCGACTCCAAGTCTTCTTCCAGATCCACCGGTGACCGGATCAACGGGTCCCACCCCCGCCGGTAACCAAAACTTCCGGCAGGTAGAACCACCACCACCACCGCCACCAGTACAAGAAGCAAACATGTTATAACACGAGACACAGCCATGGAAGTAGAAAACAGAAAACAGAGTGACTGTATTATGTAATGTAGTTGGAAAGATTTGGGGGTTTATTCTGAATGTATAAATACGAAGAGGCATACGGCATGCAAATCAAGAAGCTTACACCTGTAAAAAGTGTGGGGCCCTAAAGTATAAGCAAATGCCAGGTGGAATTACGAATTGATAGACCCGTGATGGAGGGTGTATAGAAACGAGGGTGAAGGATTGGCGGATTGGTAAATTCGTGATACAGGACAATTATAGTACTTTTTACTTTTTAGAGATATAATATAAGAATTTATATTGTCAGCTAGTACGGAAATTTTAATATATACGCTCTCACTTCTCAGTTCTCACCCCAACTTTCATACGGAATATGTATTTATTACTTTGGTAAAATATTATTGATTTTGTAAGATAAGATACATTTAACAATATTATCTCTGGACGAGTATCATGTAATTTATGACATTATGGTCTCCTTGGTGTAATGGTGTACGTTATGTAGATATGGGATACTAAATACTTATCCCATTTACAATAAGCATATCATGTTTTTTTTTTTTGGAAACGATAACTTTTATAAAAAGAACCCACGACTAGCAAGAAACTAGCGAAGGAACAAACCAATAGAAAGAACATTGTTCAAACTAAAACAAATACAAAAGAACAACAAATGACAATTAAAGACATCCCAAAACGGATCTGTTGACCATTCTTCCCAAGTGCACATTACTTGTTTACCCCTGCATTTTAACCAAAAATACACCATTGATTTTACGGCTTCAACACCAGTTGCGGGCTTTACGAATACTCCTTTAAACACACGATCATTCCTGAGTTTCCATAAGTTCCAGATAAGTCCATGACATATGGTGAC